TTGCTTATTCATTCATCTGTTGGTGGACACCTGGGTTTCTTGTACTTTGGCCACTGTGAATGGTGCTGCTATTACCAGGAATTTCAGTTGGGGTTCTTGGTCCTTGAATTCCCACAAGAAAAGATTTCAAGCAAGACCCCAAACCTAATTAAAGTAATAGCAAAGTGTATTAAGAGCAGTAAAGTTTATTAAGAGAAGGAAGACTTTGCCCTAACAGAGAAGAGCAGGCTGTCTCAGAGAGGAGATTGGTGGCACACATCTTTGTTTCCCCATTTCACTGGTGTTTAAGGGGAAATTTTTAGAGAGCCTTTTATAAATTTATCAAGACAGCATTGGGGTTTTTTAAAAAATCAATTATATTTCATTATAAACCCTACCATAGTCCTTCTGTGACATGCTTTTAGCCTCCTGGTTTTGTCCTTATCTGCCTGTTTCCATTTTGGAACAACTTTTTATTTTAAGACAAAATCTTATTTTACCATGTAAAAACCTTTTTATCTAGGAAATGTTCTCCTACATTTCTTTTATGTCCCTTTGTGCCCTACCATATTCCAACAATCGAATCTCAGCAGAAACCCTAACACAATCCTTCTGTGACATTCTTTTAGCTTTCTGGCTTTTTCCTTACCTGCCCCCTTTCATTTTGGAACAATCCTTTTGCTTTTAGGACAAAACCTTAATCATATACAAAATTCTTTCTTATCTAAAATGTTCTCCTTTTTAAATAACCATTTTTATGTCTCCTGGTTCCTGTTTACCTTGTTTATTTTTTAAACCCAAACTATATTTGTGACAAAATGAGACAAAGATCACCTGTCCACACATGCCTGCAGATATTCTGCAAACTTTGCTGCCACTTAGATTTTTTAAAGAGTACTTTTACATATCACCATCCCTCCCTTGATCTTATGTGAGTTTAAAAGTTACAGAATGTTACATTCCAACTAGGATTGGCTGCAATAACAAAAATTCCAAAAGATGTTGAATAGCAAAACTATCTTATACAAGCAAGAGGAAGGCAAAGAGAGAAAATACACAAAAAGCCCCAAATCTTTACAAGTTAAACCTGTAGTTACAGTTTAGGATATAAAAGGCAAATTATTGGGTAATTATTTTGTCTTTCTAGACACAGGATAGAGGAGGAGTAAAATTTCACTGTTAGGAAAGTTTTGCAAGATAATAGTCCAGAATGAGAGAGTAAAACTGAGAAGATGGTCCTGTACCTCCATATCGATAAAGAATCAGTTAGGTTTATCAAAATCAGAGAAACATAAAGTCACCTGCTCCTGAATAAGGGATCTCCTCCAGTGTCCTGTCTTGGCTTACCAAAATATGTCACTGGATTCCAGTGTTTTTAGTCTTCATTGGAGAAAGAAATTAAGAATGGACACACTTAAGCAGGAACAAGTTTATAAATGCAAGCAAAGCAAAGAAAAACACACCCTCCAGATGAGATGGTGGGCAGGTCAAGACAGAACCAAGAGGTCCCAAGACCTCAAATTTTTGGGAGGGTCTGCAGAAACTGGGGGTGGTAAGACCCAGAAAATTGGTTTTGTGTCATTAACTTTCAGAGACTAGAAATGTGTCATTGATTCTTTATACATGTCAGGAGCAGGTAGTTTGGGCCTTTCATAGTCAAACTGGCTGCTATTTTCTGCAGGCTCCAGGGGCTATAAGTGAACAAGACCCTGCTGTAGGTCACAAGTCATTCCATTAAGGTCAGCAGTCCAGGAGGTGACTCTTTATCAACCTCCAAGCCATCCTTCTCAGCCACCAGATTTTTCGAACTCTGCCTAGTCCCTAGATCACTGCTGTGACCACGTGCGTACAAATGACCTCACTGAGACCCTGCTTTCAATTCTTTTGAGTTTCTCTCTGGAAGTGGAGCTGCTGGATCACATAGGAAAATCTGTATGCTTACCTTTCTCATCTTGGAGAGCTGTACTCCTTATCTTCCTTGTCTCATGGTCTCTCCTTCATCTTCTAAGCCAGCATCATAGCATCTTCTTTCAGTCATCACAGCGCCTTTTCTTCTGTCTCAAAATTTCCCCTGGCTATCTTTCATAAGAACTTTCATGGAGCTGAGGCTGTAGCTCAGTGGTAGAGCACTTGTCTAGCATATATCAGGCTTTGGGATTGATCCTTGGCAGGAGAGAGAGAGAGAGAGAGAGAGAGAGAGAGAGAGAGAGATCTCCATGTGCAAAGATTTTTTTTTTTTGCCATATAAGGTGACATTCACAGGTTCCCAGAATTAGGATCTGTGTATCTTTGAGGGCCATAGACAGCTCCACAAGCTACTAGAATAAGTAAAAGGGATACAGAAACACCATGAACAGGAAGACCCATACAATCCCATTGTTCCTAGAAATCATCACAGTTTGGAATATATTTTTTGTAAGGTTCTTTCCATGCATTTTCTAACCAATGTATTTCTTTTATTCCCTTTCCTTTTTTAAAATATCAAAAATGGTATACCATTCTCCATAGCCCCGCAACATCTCTTCCATTTAATAATGTACCCTGCTGCAAGTTCTTTAAGAGTGAAAAGATTTACTTTCATGCCACTGTCTTTGATGTAAAAATAGCAACTTTTCAGTAAAGCAAATGACTTTTAGAAAATTCCACTTGAAATACTATTCTAGAAATGTCAATGTTAACTTTAATTCATAAGAGGAAAGAGCTTTTGAACCATATTAAAGGTAGACCATATTAAAGAGGCACTGTAGTGACGTATGATTCAAGCAGATACTCAGTGTGGCAGGTTAATATGTCAGTCAATGGTTTCATGGCATGGTTACCAGGTTTTTTGCCCCCAAATTGTGGAATCGATCGCTAGACTGAGCACCAATTGAGCAGTGAAGAATTTATTCTTAGCCAAGAATAGGATAAGTGGGAAATAAACCCACAAATCAACTCAACCCTTGGGAGTCAGGAGGTTACAGATAAAGAATAAAAGAAACAGGAAGGAGGGGTGGACTAAAAGAAAAGGGGAGAATATTCATGACTTCTGGGACTGAGCAGAGAATTTTCAAGAATTTGGGAGCTGCCTCTTTGTCTTCCTTTTAATGGTTCTTTCCAATTTCGATGTGGCAGTTGTCAAATGTCATGCACTGGTGGGTGTGCCATTTATCCTGTAGATGGGATTATAATGAAGTAATAGGTTGCCTGGTGGTTGCTCTGGTAGCCATCTTAGAGCCAACCAGTTTCAGCCAGATCTTCAAAGAAAAATAAGATTGATGTAGAAATTCAGCTAGGTTACCTAGGTAGTGCTCAGGGTAATGGTGTCAGCTTAACTAAAGTGTCCTGTGTAGGGGGTGGAGAAATCAAGAGACCCAGTTGGAATCCTGGTTCTGCCATCAACTAGGTGCATGACTTATCTTCCCATGTCAGCATCCTCATCTTTAAAATAAGACAATTGGACTGGAAATTCTACTCCTTATGTCTTTGTAATCTGCAATTTGGGATCTTCTGGCAGGCTGGACATCCAGTTTTGAATATTAATCCTTTTACTAATTTACACCATGAACTTGAGCAAGGCAGTGAGTTCCCTTGGGCCTCAGTTTATACATCTGTAAAATGAGCAGGATGGATCAGTGTTCTTCAAGATCTTGTCTCTGCTGGTAGAGTGGCTCAAGTGTTAGAGTGCCTAACAAGCATGAGGTCCTGAGTTCAAACTCCAGTATCGCCAAAAAAAAAAAAAAAAAAAAGATTTTTGTCTCTTCCTCTCACATTCCAGGACAGTAAGTCTCAAACTTGAATGTGCCTTCAGTCACTTGTGGATCTTGTCAAAAGATTCAGTAGGTCTGCTGTAGAGCCTGAGATTCTCACTTCTAGCAAGTCCTTAGGTGAGGTTGGTGCTGGTCTGGAGATTTGAGCCAAGGTGTTAGGATTTTTCTTTTCTTTCTTTTTTTTTTTTGGCGGGACCTGGATTTAAACCTCAGGGCTTTACATTTGCAAAGCAGACATTCTACTGCTTGAGCCACTCCTCCAGTCTGTTTTGCTCTCGTTATTTTCGAGATAGGATCTCACATACTGTTTGCATGAGCTGGCCTCAAATGACAATCCTCCTAATTTCAATCTCCCAAGTAGCTAGAATTACAGGCATGAGCCACGGGTGCTTGGCAAGGTGTTAGGATTTTGAGCTGTGAGGAAACTGTTCAAAACATGAAAATGGGCAAGGAGTTTTTTGGTTATCTGTTGGGTGGCCATTGGGTTTGAGGATTTGATCTGTAGGACCTTTAACTGCCTTTCTGTCAACTACTGTTCTTGCTGTAAGAACAGAAGCTAAGATGTAGAATACAGATAGCAATGGTGCTAATTTTGCTTGGTAGAGGTAGTCAATTTCAGACCCATACATGTAGATGTCTTGCAAACATTTTTTTCTTGTCCTATAGTACCCCAACATTTTGCAGTTAGCAAATCCATTTTATTCCCGATAGTTCACATACATGAGATTTTCAAATTCACCTTTAAGTAGGATTTTACTTTTTTTTTTTTTTAAGTATAACACCACTGGTCCTTTGCAATTCATTGATTCATTGATTTATTACAGGCAAGAAGCCCTTGGCAGGTGTGTGTGTATGGTGGAACTGAGTCACATAAACTCTTCCAGGAAAGTTGGTCAGGCATTTTCGCTTTCCTGATTCCCAGCCCTCCTATGGTGTGAGAAAAGCACTTTAACCCCGATCTACTCTTGGCCAGGTAATTCCCCTCACAGGACTACACAATCACAGAATATGGTGTGAGAGGATGCTTCATTCACCACGTGATCAGTTACAGATCAAGAAGTCAACTGGCCTCCCCAATCCCAACAGACAGTTGTTGCGATGTGGGGATTTGAACCTTGGCGTCTAACTTTATTAGCTTCCTTTTCATCGCTGCTGTCTGGTTTACCCTAAACGAACAGCTCTCACGCATCTGCTACAATAATAACGTGACCCTCAGACATCTAGAGTGCTTCAACCAGAAAAGACCGTTGAAAGCTGGGCTTCGGAGCCCAGGCTCAGTGCAACAGGGCAGACGCCCCGCCCCCGGCTCGCCCCGCCCCCGGCTCGCCCCGCCCCCGGCTCGCCCCGCCCCCGGCTCGCCCCGCCCCCGGCTCGCCCCGCCCCCGGCTCGCCCCGCCCCCGGCTCGCCCCGCCCCCGGCTCGCCCCGCCCCCGGCTCGCCCCGCCCCCGGCTCGCCCCGCCCCCTGCGCGCTCCGCACCCTCTGCCTCCGACCCCACCCCTTCCTGTCTGTGTCTGCGGCAGCCACTTTCGATAAAGTTGTTGTTCTGCCAGCATGGCGGCGCCCATGGTGACACTTCGGGCCGTGTGCGTCTAAAGGCTCTGGAAACCAAGCACAGAGGAGCCGCAGGCCAGAGCCTGTGAGCAGGTAAACCCCCGCCTAACTCAGCGGAACGAGATGAGGCCGGATTGATCCCCTTTCCCCCTCAGAACTGGAGGTTCGGGTTTGCCGGGGCAGGAGGGGACGGTGCGGGCTAAGGTGGTCCTGGAACCTTGCGGGTTTCCAACCCGGAAAGTCTCAGAGATCCTAGCCTTCGGATTCTTCAAGTCACGGACCCTGTTGATAGGTGTGGATCAAAAACGCACATCTCCACATGGTTTTGTACTCTCTCCAGTGTTCCTCTACCCTCATCCCTGGATCTTCGCTCCCTGGGAAGGGTTTTGGACCCAGTCAGTGGTCGTTCCTTGCACCTTTGGGGTCCACAGCATGTTACTGTCTGAAAGTCCTCAGAAATCGTCTGGGTCCAGTGTCTTACCGAAAGAGAAGATAAAGTTCCAGGCAGGAAATAAATTGCCTGAGATCACACAGGGGATTAGCATTGTCAAAACACTAGACATGAACATGTAAATCTTGGTTTCCCTGTCACACACACACACACACACACACACACACACGCATACCCTCATCTCCCTCTCCTTTCCCTTCCTGTCCCCTCCCCCCCTCTCTTTTTTGACAAATTCTCCCTAGGTAGCCAAGCTGGCCTCCAACTCGCAATCTTGCCTCAGTCAAGTTGCCAAGATTACAGGAGTGCACAGCCACACTGGGCTTAATTGTTTTCTTTAAGACGAATTTTCCCAGGTACATTCTTGCACATTGTTCTGGGTGGGCACAGTTGCCTTCATATACTTCTCCTATTTGTTCTCTTTCTTTGCCTGTCTCCTCCTCTTTTAGGTTTCTCTATTTAATATCATTTTCCATCCAGTTTTGAAGTCTCTGTTCTCAAAAACCTTAACTTGGAGCTTAACCGTAAGCTCTGAGTGAGGTTGAGGTCAACCCTGACTCTAAAGATGGCTGGGGTAGTGGATGGGGTAATGGTAGTTGATGCTTTGGAAGAAGAGACAAGATTCCAAACAAGGAACTGGATGAACTGGAGCTAAGGAAGAAAAGCGCCACATGGGGTGCTCATGGCTCACATCTGTAATCCTAGCTACTTGGGAGGCTGAGATTGGGAGGAGCGAGGTTTGAGGCCATTCCAGGCAAATGGTTTGTGAAACCCCATCTTAAAGATAACCCAGAGCAAAATGGGTTGGAGATGTGGCAGAGCACCTGCTTTGCAAGTTAGTTCAAACCCCAGTTCCACAAAAAAAAAAAAAGCCCAAATTGAGGATAAACATAATGTATGAGCTGCACCTTTCACATTCGTTCTGTCTTATAAAATGACTGCTCGTGGACGTCAGGAAGAGTAATTTACCCTCATGGTGATGCCGTGGGAGGTCCTTTGGATGGCTTAGAGCAGGCTCTGGGACATAAAGGAAGGAAATAGTTTTGAGACCCAAGGTGTCCTATAAAAATCAGCCACGAGTACAGGCTATTTGTGCCTAGTGTGTCCTACTGGTAAGTACAGGAGGTGGTCTTGGGGACCCCCTAGGCTTTATTATTTATTTATTTATTTTTGCAGGCTGGGGATGGAATACTGGACCTTGAACAGGCCAGGCAAGCACTCTTTCACTGAGCTATATCCCCAACCCCCATACTTACAGTGTTTCTTTGTTCTGTTTTGGATTTTGGCGTTAGGGATTGAACCTGGGGTCTCATACATGCTGAGCATATGTTCTACATCCCTAGTCCTTGGACTTTCCTTAAAGGATCTTGAACACATGACCAGATTGCTCCCCAGAGAAAGTGAATCAGTTTACATTCCTGCCTGCAGTCTATAATGTATATTTCTTTTCTTTTTTTGTGGAATTACTGGGGTTTGAATTCAGGGCCTCATATTTGCTAGGGAGGCACTTTTACCACTTGAGCCACTCCACCAGCCCTTTTTTGTGATGGTTTTTTATCGAGATAGGGTCTCATGAACCATTTGCCTGGGCTGGCTTTGAACAATGATCCTCTTGATCTCTGCCTCCTGAGTAGCTAGGATTACAAGAGTGAGTCACCAGTGCCTGGCTGAATGACCTTTTGTCATTGTAGTATTGGCAGTCATTTTCTTTTGACTACCAGTTTGCTCTCTAATAATTTTATTCATGACACTGTTTGGGTTTTGATTTTTGTTTGAGGTAGGGCTGTGATCCACCTGCTGTAGCCTCCTGAGTGCTGGGATTATAGATATGCACCATCACACCTGCTTTATGAGTTTTTGTTAGACATATATTTTACGTTTTTAGCGTCAAATATGTTCATATTTTCCTTTCAATGTTTTCATTGTTTTTATGCTCAGGACAGAAAGTCTTGAATACTCATCTATATTCTCATCTTGTTTTGTGATAGTTTACTGTTTTGGTTCCTTTTTTTTTTTTTTTTTTACAGTACTAGGGATCAAATCTAGAGTTTTGTGCATGCTAGGCAAACACTCAACCACTGAGCTACATCCCCAGCCCTTTTTTGTGTGGTATTTAAAAAAAAATTCTTTATTCTATCAGGGATTTTCCCAGTTTATGATTTGAGGTGGGAGTCTGATTTGAACTTTTTCCCCCATTCATTGAATAACTTGTCACACTCCTATAATCCCAGCACTTGGAAAGCTGAGGCAGGAAGATCACAAGTTCAAGGGCAGCCTAGACTATATAGGTGAAACCCTGTTTCAAAAGAAAAAGAACACCGTCACTTTCTACTTTATGAACTTTTTTTTTTTTTTTACACTACTGGGGTTTGAACTCAAGACCTTGAGCTTGCTAGGCAGGTGCTCTACCACTTGGGCCATACCCCTAGCTCTTTTTACTTTAGTTATTTTCAGATAGAGTCTTGCTTTTCTGCTTAGGCTGGCCTTAAACTGCAATCCTACCTATGCCTCCTGCATAGCTGGGGCAACAGGTGCACAGTATCACACCCAGCTTATTTGTTAAGATGAGGTCTTGGGAACTTTTTACTGGAGCTGACCTTGAACCTTGATCCTGAGTACACGTATAAGTACAGGTATCAGTCACTGTACCCAACCCTTGAATTTAACATTTTTTTATATAACAGCTGTATTTCAGGATTCTCTCGTCCTTTGGTTTATGCAAAAGAGAAGTTACTAGGGAGGCAGGAATAATGTAAAGCTTATTTGTATGGGCAGGGAGTGTTGTTATGTGTTGTTCATGATTTAGTTTATGGTATGTCAGTTATAGAAACAGAATTAGGATTTTGAGTGAATGCATGACCTTTGTACTGCTCATTGACGATTTAACTGCACTCTTTGGTATTTCATTCATCACGATGGTCAATCAGCATTGAAACCAAAAACTTGGGAGTTTGCAATTCAGGTCAACTTACCTAATTTTGTTCTTTCTTGTTATTTCTACTGGGGAGGATAGCCCAGAACACTCCCTTACAGTCTTAGGGAATGCTGTCTAGTAGAGAAAGGGCAGGATGTACCTGTGTGCCATCTGCTAACAGGCATCCTTCACTTGCAAAGGTACGGGGATGCTGACGTAGAAAGAGAACCGTGAACTCTGTGATGCCTGGCGATAGTTCTAATTATGTAGACACCCCAGCCCTAAAAGTAAACGTAATCACCTCATTGTGCAGAGCACACACATGTTGGGTGGTCAAGTAGAGGTGCTAGTGTTCAGCCAGCTTCATAGAGTACATCCTCATGCACACAGTCACATCTACCTATTTTAAAATAGCTACACCCTGCTGATAGGGAGATTTTTTGCGTCAGTCTGTCTCTGGTTTTGCCCCTGAAAGAAGCAAGAGGTGTTAAATGCAGTGAGAATTGGTATGTGCTTGATCTGGCAGATCGCCTTATAAAATGCCAGCACTGGGAAGCCATTTTATATGGGTGTGAGGTCTTTTTTTTTTTTTTTTTTCGTGGTGCTGGGGTTTGAACTGAAGGTCTTGTGCTTGTAAGGCAGGTGCTCTACCACTTGAGCCACACACACCCCTGGTCCTTTTTTTGCTTTAGTTTTTAGATCTCCATCCTTCCCAGTAGCTGGGATTACAGGCGTGAGCTACCACACCTGACTCAATCCCACTTTTATGAGCCTATGGTGACACTCCTGGCAACATTTGTGTTTTAGTACCTTTGTGAGACAGGTCTAACCCTAGTAGATAGGAAAAGAATTTTGAGAGAATCAGATTAACACCAATCTAGATTATCAGGTTCCTTTATTCCTCTTGTTTTTGAAAGCTCTGGTTTCACAGTGCGTGGACCTGATGCCCTCAATAGATAGTTGATAAATGAATGAAGAACTAAATAGATTAAAAAGTCTTCTAAATTGTGGTCATTTCCTGGCTTGTGCTATAATATGTATGAAAAAATGCCAATAATAGCTCAAGATTTCTAGACCTCCAAGGTGACCTTTGTTTAGATTTCTTCTGGTATTTGAACCTAAGGCCAAGCCAGGATATACTTACAGAGTTCTTCTGAGGCTTGGGGAGATGACATGTGCAGCCTCCTGGACTGACCCTGGGCCTGCTTACAGGGAAAGGAGGGAGGGGCTACATCGCCTCCCATGCTACTTGTAAGGTTCTAGTGGAGCTGGTCCAGATGGTTGGCTCCCTTTGTTCCTATGGGGGGTTTTGTTTCTTTGGTTGGGGCATGGATCACCTATATTTTCCATTAAAGAGTTTGTGTTTAGCTTTATCTACCTTCTAAAATATTCTTTTTAGGAAAAAATCAAAAGAAGAGAAGCATGTAAGTGGGCAGGGAATGCTCAGCTGTGCTGACCAGGAAGAAGCCCTGAGAAAGTTCCAGATTCTTCCATCTCTTTTTCCGGGGCCTCCTCACTTTCTTAAGAATGGCTTCTGCTTGGCAGAGACTGGGCTTTTATGCCTCTCTTCTGAAACGGCAGCTCAGTAGGGGGCCAGATGTCATCAGATGGGAGAAAACAGTGATTCCAGGATGGACCAGAAGTATTTACAGTGCCACAGGGAAGTGGACAAAAGAGTATACGCTACAGACAAGAAAGGATGTCGAGAAATGGTGGCACCAACAAATAAAAGATCAAGCCTCCAAAATTTCAGAAGCTGATGTGAGTATTCTGAGACGGCAGAGAAGAGGGACGAAGGGCTTGGACTATGAGCTCACCCACCCGGGTCTAATAAGTTATTAGGTGTGTGACCTCTGTGTTTCTCTGTGCTTCAGTGTTCTTATCTAAAGTGGAGGGTGGCAGTAATAGTGCTTGCTCCTTCCTGAGAGGGTTAAGAAGGGTGATGAGGCTTAGCAGAGATATAGTATGGTGGCTGTATGCTTCGTAATATTGTTCACCAGGGGTGTGCCAGGCATGCTGGGTAGCATGGAAACAGGAGCACTAGCAGGTATGGGGTCCCCTGCACCATGGGGCAGCACACAGGCTGGTTGGATGTGAGACTAGGAGGCATTTGGGCTACCCAGATGGCCACATGTTCTGAGGGGTATCTTCCCCTCTGCTGCCTTGACCTTGACTTTAGTCCTGTTCTACCACTCCAGTATCAGTTGGGGAGGGATGCCAGTGTTTTCCCCGGTCTGATCTGGTGTTGGGGTCCAGCCTTACAGTAGCAGCTAAGTGAGTTAGTGGAACCTTGGCTTCTGGCCCTCATGTACTAGCCCAGTACTCTACCAGAACTAGTGCATTAAATACTTGACTGTAGTGGGTTTCCATGCAATGCTCTCTGCTCCTTCTCTGGGAGACCAGAATCTTGGATGTGTTAATCCTCACTTCTTGATAAATGACAAGTGAAAGGAACGATCTGTTACATGAGATGTTGCTCTGATCAGAGAAAACTCTGAGAGTTTTACTCCTAAATTCTTGTCATCCTTTTTAATAGTAATAGCCAAATAATATAGATGTTAAAATATCAATGTTAGGCCAAGGCAAACAGTTGGGTATGGCTGTATATGACTGCTCTTCACCAGTCTTATTTTTTCCCATCTCCTGCTTCTTACTGGCGTCTCACCCATACTTCTACTATGACGACTACTTCTCTTCCTCTTTTCCTCCTTCTTCTTTCTTCAGTTCAGGACCTTGTGCTTGCTAGGCAGATGCTCTACTGCTTGAGCCATGCTGTCAGTTTTTTTTTGTTTTTTTTGTTTTTGCTCTATTTGTTTTTCAGTTAACTTTTCCAGGCCAGCCTCAGACTGATCCTCGTATCTCTGCTTCCTGGCATTATACGAATGTACCACCATGCCCAGCCACACTCATTCTTTCTATGAGATCAATTGCTAAGAAAAATGGATAAGAGGAGGGGAGTGATTTGTGTTCAACTTAAAGATGACTTTGGCATTGGTTAGAAAGAAAATCTGGAATTGAGAGAGATGTAGCACATAACAAGTAAAATGAAATGATAGGAAGGAAGGTTTGAATAATTGTATGACGAAAGCTTGACTTTACCTCATTAGGAAATGAAAAGCTGTCACGTGGATAGGCTAACCTAACTAGATGTATTTTGGAAACACACTCTAGGGAGCAGTTTAATTCTGAACAAGCAGAGTAAAACTCTTTTTTTTTTCTTTCAGTTTAGATTATCATTTAGTGACTCCCACATAGTTCAGAGTTGTGGCTTATTGCTTTTGTGACATCTCATTCATCCTAAGCATATAGTTTTACAAAATATTAAACAGAGGAAATAAACTGTTTGATAATTGGGGAAATGGGATATTGTGTGGATCCCCTGTGATTGTTGTGTCATGCTTTGAAAATGGAAGCCCTCAATGAGGTGAGTAGCTGTAATCCCAGCTACTCAAGAGGCAGAGACAGGCAAGTTCCAAGGGCCAAAGCAGCCAAAGTCAGTTGGATTCTAACTGAAAAACAAAACACAAAACAAAAGGGCTGGGGGTGTGACTCAAGTGGTAGAGCACCTGCCTAGCATGCCTGAGGCCCTGCTTTCAATCCTCAGTACCTAACGGGGGACGTCAGAGGGACCAGGACTGTATTGCTGCTGCACCCCACAATATCATTGCGATTTAGGCTGTCATTTAGCCTCCTTGAGTCTCAGGTTCCTCAAATTGTTTATCTCACAGGCTTGTTTTGAAAATCAACATTTTACAAACTGAAGTGTTATATAAATAAGATAATGCAAAGACATGTATTGTCTTTATCAGGAACTGAGATGAGACTTTGACTGAATGCTGGTGGAGTCAAAGCATTTACAACCTATCTTACTCTGGCAGTAGGTGCATTTGAAACTTACCCACACGAGTTGTTAGAAGTCAGGTGTCACTGTTTCCAGACTGGGATGGTGCTCAGTAGTAGAGCCCTTGCCTAGCATACTGTGAAGCCCTGGGTTCCATCCCTAGCACCACATTGGACTCTCACACACACACACCACACAGGGACACACGCACACAAATTCTATCTGGTAAGCATTCCTCCACCTACCAGGTTCTGTCCTGCCACTGACTACCACTGAATCCTGAATCAAGCCCGAGGGTAGGTATTGAACCCTCATTTGGGGGATAAGAAGGTGGGAGCTCAGAGGCAGGCTTGGTGATGAGCAGAGCCAAGCTGCACAGGCGGCATGGGCAGAGCCAGGATTCAACTCCAGACACAGTTGATTCCTGAGTTCATGCTTTCATCCCGAACCTTCTTCTGCCTTACTTCCATTGATAAATAGCAGACGGAGCCCAGAAAGACCCAGGGATTTGCCTAAGGCCTTCCAGCTAGTGGCAAAGTGAGGGTCAAGCCAGGGCTCTGTACTTCTGTGGGGTGTGTCACCCTTAGTGACAGTTTTAGAGCATGATCCATAAAGAGGCAGAGTCATCTTCCTACTTAAGTTAGCCTGATGAGAATAATAGGACCCACATATAAAAGCCGTCTTCTCCTCATCTTTTGCCATCTTAATTTCTCTTAAATTCTTCCACTTTTATGTAATTATGAAAATTTCCCTTTCAATCAGACTCCTGCTCAATTATAACAAGCTTCCAGAGTTTCTTCTTCTTTTCTCCATCCCCAGATGACAGAACTCATTTCATTGTCACAGGAAAATGCTTCATTCATGCAGAAAAACAAAAGACAGGGCCAGGCAGTAGGCTGAGTACATTTTCTGCAATAAACAAAAAATATTCATGAATATTAAAGACTTGCTAGCAGTGCTTTTCTATGTATCTTTTATTAACTCAGGTTTGGAGTTTGGCTTGGCAAGTTTATGATGAATTATTTGATTTTGCTATTAATTTAGTCTTTATTGAACAAACATTAAAAAGATATTAGTGAAGCTACAAGTAAAAAGTGTTTGGAGCAAGATAAAGTAATGTAACAAAATACACATTATTATAATGAAATGAGGTGATTATAATAAGAGATAAATGTTTTATGTAAAAACAAAAAAATCAAAAACTGGATATAGCAAACGTTAAGGTTTTTTATATCACACATTTTCTTTTTTTTTTTTTTCAGAGTTTTGCAATTGTAACCCAGGCTGTCCTCAGACTCTCCTCTTGTCTCAGCCCTTTGAGGCTGGGATTGCATGTCCAGTGCTCCCAAAGAATTCTAACAGGGTGTTTTCCCATTTCCCTAAAAAAAATTCCTAAAGAAAGGCAATATGGCAGCCAAGCATGGTGGCACATCCCTGTAATCCCGGCACTCAGGAGGCAGGAGGATTGAGGGTTCAACACCAGCCTAGGCTACACACCCAGACCATGTCTCAAAAAAGAAAAGAAATGGCAATAGGCCTGATACATTGCAGAAAGAGCTTGATAGAGTGATGGGTTCTTGCTGCTGGGTATTGAACCCAGGACCTTGACTATCTAGCCAAGTGTTGTGCTACTGAACTGCATCCCCAGCCTCACTCACCTTCTTTATTTTATTTTATTTTTTGTCATTACTGGGATTTGAACTCAAGGCCTTGCACTTGCTAGGCAGGTACTCTATTACTTGAGCCACACCCCTCTCTAGTCCTTTTTAAACTTATTTTTCAGGTAGGGTCTCATACTTTTGCCTGGGCTGGCCTCATGAAAGCCTTCTACCTATGGCTCCCTTGGCCCTACACCTGGTTTATTGATTGAGATGGAGGTCTCAGTAACTGTGCCCAGGATGGCTGTGAACCTTGATCCTCCTGATCTCTGCCTTCCATGCAGCTGGGATTACAGACACAAGCCACCATGCTGGACACCTTCTTAACAGTTAAATCCCCACCAGCCCTGATCTCAGAGGCTCCCTCTCACTCCTGAGATTTTCCTAAGCTGTGAATCCACAATTTCTAGTTAAAGGGTGTGGCCAGGGTCCTGCTTGCTGCTCTGATTATGTAAATCATTGCAGTTGTCATTTCAGCAGATTCTGGTTTGTGGTCTCCACATTCTTTGCTCTCTTTCTGCCTTTCTTCCTCCAGGCAGCACTGCTTACCCTGGTCATTTCTAGAGGATGAGCAGTACAGAGGAAAGTTTCCTCTTTTTTTTTTTTTTTTTTGCCCTTGTTAGTGGCTTTGTTAAAGGTCTATATAACTTCTTTGCTGAAGGAAGTTTAAGAACTTGGCAAGAGGTTGTTTCTTCTCCTCTCCTGATTACAGCTGGCTTTGTCCATTAGCTTTTATGCAAGTGCTTAACAAAAAATATTAAAAATCACCCCCCACACACTCGTGCACTCCTTTTGCATTTGTCTTGCAAAGCTCTGGAAGGATGAAGGAGCAAATAGGGAGAACCAGGAGGCAGAAACAAATTGGTGAAGGCAGACAGCTGACCCTCAGTGACCAACAGAAGCAGTTACTGTTTCTCTTCTTTTTTTCCTCAGAGCACTCTCTGCCCCCCCACCCCCCTGCCAATATACACCATGGGAGAATTTGATGCTGGCTAGAAGGCAGCCTTCTATTACCTGGATAGGTAACCCATGGTTAGGGGTATTGTTAGAGTTAGGGTTACGGTTTCCTGTTAGTGTTAAATTTAGGGTTAGGTTAAGGTTAGAGTTTGGATCAGGGCTTTGGTTAGAGTTAGTGTACTGCACATAGAGTTAGTTTTGGGTTTAGGGCTTGAGTTTGGGGTAGGTTTAAGTGCTGCAAAGGGTTTAGGGTTTAGATTTATGACTGTGTTTGGGTTAGGGCTTGGATCCGGGTTAGTGTTAGTTCTTCATCAGGATTTTGGTTAGGTCTAAGGTTAGGATTAGGATTAGGGGTTAGTAGGTTTATGGTTGGGTTAGGGTTAGTGTTAGGGTTTAGGGTTAGTGTGAAGGTTAGGATTAAGATTAGAGATAAGTTAGTGTCAGGGTTAGTGTTAGTGTTATTGTTAGGGCAGGGTTTTTAGCTTGGGTTAGTGTTAGTCTTAATTCTGCTTGGGGTCCAGGGATAGGGCTGGGATTAAGGTTAGCGTTAGGATTTGGTCTTGAGTTAGGTTTAGGTGTGTACAACTTTTCTTTGGAGCCTTATCACCTCTTACATATGTCACTTATATCATTCACCATCTTACAGTTGAAGAGCTAAGTGCCAAAAGCTGGCAACCCAATAAGTACTTCCTGCCTGCATTCTCTTTAGACACACGTGTAGTTTTCCTGTTTCTCTTGCTGCTGCGTTGGTGGCTGGAGAGTCACATAGCTGATCTGTGTTTGCCTCTTTGTCAGCCTGGGAAAACAACAACTTATTCTCTGTACTGGTTAAGATTTTTTCATGGCCTCCCCATTTCACCTTTTTCTGTTGGACAAACAGAAAAGAAGCTGTGAAGAGGAGCTTTTAAAACAGGAAAAAAATAAAAATATAGATGAATAATTACTGCTTAGAGGTGTTTGACATTATTTTTGGACATTCTTTGGCTTAAAACAGGGCTTTGAGTTTTAATATTTTTCTCAGTTTACATAATGAGGACAGTTTTTCTCAAAAGGAACATATTAAGGTGACAAAATGTTAGTACATACAGTATTCCTAGAAAATAATACTTAATAAATACTCATTGTCACTCTTTCCTAGAAATCAAAGCCCAAGTTTTATGTGCTTTCCATGTTCCCCTATCCTTCTGGCAAGCTGCACATGGGCCACGTGCGTGTCTACACCATCAGCGACACCATTGCCCGGTTCCAGAGGATGAGAGGGATGCAGGTAAGGAAAGATGCCACCCATGGGCCATAATGTGGTAATGCATGTTCAGGACAAGTGATAAACCAACCTCAGTTAAGAGTGAGCGACTTTGACGATGAATGTGAAAATCCTGGTGTTTCTTTTCATGCCTAGGAGATGTTGTAATGAAACATCTAAATGAATGAGGGGCAACCATGTGTTGGCTGTTTTTCTAGGGATGGAAGTGGGATGGAGCCAGTGGAATGGCAGATACAAATGTAAACAGAGTTATTGGATAAGCAGTGAAGTCAATGGAACAAAGATAGACCAACTGCTGTGTGTTTGTCAGCTTTCTGCTGCTGTAACAAACACTTGGGATCATCAACTAATGGAGAGAAAAGGTTGGTTTTGGCTTATGGTCCTGGAGGTTCCAGTCCATGATCAGATAGACCCATCGTTTCTAGGCTTCTGGTGGGAGTGCCGGATGGCCATGGTGAGGAGTGCATGGCAGAGCAAAACTGCTCACCTCATGGCTAGGAAGCAAGCAAAAGGAAGGGAGGGCTGGGTCTGGTGAAAAGTGCCTGTAATCCCAGTTACTGTAGAGATGGAGACAGGACAATTGAGGTTCGAGGCCAGCCCAGGCAAAAAGTTGGCATGACCCATCTCAAAAACAAGTTGGACATGGTTTACATACTGTAATCTCAGCTACTTGGGAGGCAAAGGTAAGAGGACCGAGCTCTAAAGCTGGCCCCTGTCAAAAGCATGAGACCTTATCTGTAAAACAAACTAAAAGCAAAAGGATTGGAGGTGTGACTCAGTAGTAAAGCCCTGAGTTCCATCCCTAGTATAGCCAAAAAAAGAAGGAGAGAAGGGGTCATGGTCCCATGGTCCCACTCTTTCCTTAAAGGACACACCCTCAGTGACCCAAAGACCTCCTACTAGGCCCCTCCTCTTAAAGGTCCCGCCAGCTCCTAATTAGTGCCACTCTGGGAACCAGGCCTTCAACACATGGACCTTTAGTGACATCTAAGATCCAAATTCTACCATGCTGTGAGTGGCAGGTGAGCAAGTATTTGTTTATGATGGGAAAAAACTATTCAAAAATATTTGGGAAGTAAAGACTGGGGAGTTGGGAAGGCTCCCCTAAAGACATGGGTGTTGAGGAATGAGGTGAAACTCATCAGAGGAGGAAGACAAAGGCCCTCCCATGGCTGGCAGAGGTCAGTTACCTTCACCCCTGCCTACGCCCTTTACTCTTTCCTTTTACTCTTTAGCATACTTCTCCTGGAGGATGATCTCTAATGAATACAGGACAACTCAGATCTCCTGCTTCTGTCTGTGTTTTAAGAAGTTGTGTTTTTCAAGAATTTGTCATCCTACCTCACTTTGTGTTCTGGACTGCCTCCTCTTTTTTCTCTTTCCTCTTAAGTAGTTTGTTCTCTTTATTTATTTGTTTATTTAGAGACAGGGTCTGGCTGTGTCGCCCAGGCTGGCCTCAAACTCATAATCCTCCTACCTCAGCCTCCAGAGTGCTGGGATTACAGGCGTGCCCCATTTTGCCTGGTCCCTTTACTGTAAATATGGTACTTTAAAAATTTATGAGCATTTTGAACATAGAAGTACTCATACATTCAGACCTGCCATCCTGGTGTAACAGATAGTACCGTTTGATCATCTTGGCCTCAACACATACAAAAAGCATTACACTTGTTTCTCCACGCTGTATTCCCACCCTTCAACTCAAAGTCACCTCTGCCCTGAGGCTGTGGTCTTTTACCTTCATGTTTTCACGATTTACTCTCTTATTGAAGATACACACACTCTTAAATGTAGTGTTGTGTATTTTCAGTTTTATATAAAATATTTTTATTCATTATTTGTTTCAAGATTTATCCTTTCTGTGGCTCTAGAGTTAGTTCATCTATTGTAGGTACTATATAATTGCAACAGAATTAATTACCTGTTTTCACATTAGTTGTTTTTGTATTTATTTATTTGGTTTTAGCTTTTTGAGATAGGGTCTCACTGTGTCGCCCAGGCTGGTCTCAAGCTCAGGATCCACCTGCCTCAGCCTCTCAAGTGCTGGAATTAAAGGTGTGTACCACCATACCTGGCTTCACTGATAGTTTTTGAAGTTGGCATCAAATTTTTCCTTTAGTGCACATCCTTGTGCCTGACTTTTTAGCCTGTGCAAGAAGTGGCACAGCCTTTGCAGCTTGTCAAATTGCTTTCTTAAAGTTTGGTGCCAATTTATACTCCCACCAGCAGGGAATGAGCTTTTTTAATGCCCTGCATCCTTGGCAGCAATACGTAGTGATAGACTTTTTTTTGGAAGAACTAGTATTTGAACTCAGGGCCATACACTTGCTAAGCAAGTGTTCCACTGCTTGAGACACTCTGCCAACTCTAGACTTTTTAATCTTTGCTAATTTGATAAATGGGAATTGGCATCCAGTTGTGTTTACTTTTATTTATTTTGGTGCTGGTGACCAAACCCAGGGCCTCATGCATGCAAAGCCTGCATTCTACCACTAAGCTACACCCTTAGCCATCAGTAGCATTTTGAATTTACATTTTCCTGATTATTATCCCAGTGAGGCTGAGATATTTTTATGTTTTCTGTCTATGTAAATGTCTTCTCTGATTGTTCACATTATTTACCAAGTCCCTCTTGCCTTGTTTGTCTTATTGCTTACCTAGGAGGTTTGTTTGTTTTTCAAGTCGTCTGGATTGTTGAGTTTTTATTGGTAGATGCAGTACAAGTGCCTTCTCCCAGTCTCTGGTTTGCCTTTGCATTTTGTGAGACTGGCCAGGTCATGGATTACAGTTTGGCTTTGTGGTTTTTACCTTATGTCTCCTTCCTGGAGTACCTCTCACTGTCCTTTCTAAGTAAGTCACTGCCATTCTTTCTGTGAGCTAAAATTTTTCCTTCTGCTGTAATTCCACCCCTAAATTCTCCAGCCCCTAATATCAAGAAGTACTTTAGTACTTACAGTCAGAACCACAAACTAAGCATAACTAAGTTTACATGTTCCTCACGTGCTGTTTTTCTGCCCAATCATATAAGCTTCTTGGGGACAGAAGGTCTCTTTTACCTCCTTTTGTGCATCTAGTGTTTAATGCTTCCATGGAACCGACAGGGTTTGTACATCTACAACTTGTCATTCCCAAGGAATTTACCATCTGCTAAGCCTTAACTATTTGTGAATTGATTGATTCAATGGACACTTTTTTAAAAAAGTGAAATCTAGACTAAGTGTTTATACATATCCACCCAGAATAACATTTTCAAACTTGAACACTCCCAAATGCCAGCAACAAAGTCCTTGGACTCCTCTTTGGTAAATATTGAATTCAGAGTGGTCACATGCCACTTAACTTACAAACCCAGAGACACCCAATTCATGTGGTACTTCTTAGTGGTAAGCTTCATCAGTCAGGATAAAACTGGGTTATGCCGAAGAAATAAACATTCCCCAAATCTGTGGCTTAAGACAAGAAAAGCTTATTTCTTGCTTTGTCACCTGTCTGGCAGGAGGGCTGTGTTCCAGTGGTAGGGACCTGGCTGTTGGCAGGTCTTACTTCAGTCAGTGCCTCTCCCATTTCTGTGGCTGGCCCTTAAATCTCAGGTCACTTTCACTGCCATGGGCAAGTCCAACCTCAAGAAGTAAAGAAGTGTGTATTCCAGTCAGGTGCGTCAAGCATGCCTGTGCTGCCAGCATCCCAGAGGCTGAGGCAGGAGAATCTTGAGTTTGAGCCAGCGTGGCATCACAGCAAGTTCTAGGCCAACCTGGGCTGCATAGAGAGTCCCTGTCTCAAAGGAACAATTAACAACAACAATGACAAGAAGTACACTCCTATTGTGTGCTGGAATGGGAAAGAATCAAAATGTTTGCGAATAGTTCTGGTGGTTACCATGTAAGGTAATCTAGAGGATCTAGAATATTCTTAACCTGACTAATCTTTTTTAAGACTATCCTTGAGGTGAAAATAAACCTTGGAAACCAGTAGACCTTTCCATTTGAGCCTAGAACATGACATTGTTGCCACCAAATTTGGCACCCAAACACTGATGCTCTGTAAGCTTCTCTGTGTGTGGCAGTGGTCCTTATTCTTTGTGGTGTTTTCCAAAAGGCACAGGTGGAGCAGGGGAATCTGTGTTGTAAATAAGCAGGTCAGATAGTTAGGACGTAGATCTTCCTCCAGTTTTAGCACTTACATGAATGGAGCAGCATCTGCCTAGCCAAAATGGATGTTCAAACATGGATCCCATTGAGGTGAGAAGAAAGCTAGGGTCTTAAGCCGCTGGCCTGGCCATGGATGTGCACATAGGTGTGGGCTGTGTAAGCGGAGGGAAGGGGGTGTGGGGGTGGTGAATCTATCAGAAGTTGGCAGCTTTTGTTGGAGCACCGGTGACCTGCCTTATCCATCTCACAAGATTTGTTGCAGTGTTTGTGTGAGATGAGAAAACCCTTTAAATTTCAAACGTAACCCCAAATAAGTATAGTGATAATTAAGGAGTGCCAGCATTTGCATGTTTAGGCAGGGACCATTTGAAGCCAGAGATAAGCTCTTCTCTTTCAGTAAACAGGAAAGGCTGCCCTGCCAGTTGCTTTCTTTTTAAACTCATAGAATGCCTGGTGACATATGTAAAGCCAAGCTCCAAATGGGTGGTTTTGTTGTGTTTTCATATGTCGTATGCACAGATGGTCGGAAATAAAATTACCCGCCTCCCACCTCGGCTGTTCTCCCCAGCACCTTCTGGTCCAGAAGCCGGGGTGACGGAAGCATCAAAGTGCCAAGTCCCCTCCCAGAGTTGGGCTAGGAGTAATTAGTCCCAGGCAAAAAGCCACCAGGCATTGTCTAAGTTAGAGTTTTTTGCTTTGGGCCTTTTTGCTATTCATTGCGGAGGAGGAGGAGGAAAATTGAGGCTCTGTGTCTGGCAGCTGCATAATCATAATGTAATTACCCACAAATACCAGGAAGCGAGGGAAGTTCCTAGCAAGTGAACCATAATGTATGTTTCGTCGGTTCTCAGTTTG